TAATCTTCAAAGCCCACTGAAATTTAGAGAAAAAGGGATGATGTTGATGAAAAATTTGAAAAAAATCGTGAGCGAAGCCGGATCTGTGTCTGTATGTAATTGAATGGGGTGGGTTTTGGGACGTTTAAATTATGGTGTTTATATGTTTAAATTTATGTTAGGTGCTTTAATCTAATTGGTTTCTTTTTAAGAGTAGTAAGCCTAATTTCCCTGACTATAATTTGCCATTCAAACTTATAAATTGGGCCTGCAGGTCGATCCAGGCTTAACCCATTTTGAGACTGGATATATTTTTAGTGAAAACTACCAATTCCATACTTTCCAAGATTCAAATTCAAAAATCACAACAGAACTCCCTCACCCCCTGGCCTCTCTCTCTCTCTCTCTCTCTCTCTGGCAGAACCCCTTCGTCGGCGTCGTCCACCAGAACCACGTCTCTGCACGCGGCATCGATGGGTAACATCGTCGCTACAACTCTCATCGTTCTTAGCTGTAGTAGATCCTCGACATTTTCCTAAATCCCGTCATCATCGATGCTATAAGTCGCTGCGTGGTCTCGTACGATCCTTCATTTCCCCCACAGATTTCCCCTAGATCCCGGCATCATTGACGTTGGCGGAGGTGACTGCTGTGATTAATGGTTCATAATTTTTTTTTTTTTTATGGGTGTGGTGGTTGTGGTAAGTTAATTGTTTTTTCATATTTTGGTGGCTTTGGGTTGTAGGGCTGGTTTTGGGCCGAGGCGAGTGAGGCCCCTACCTCGGGCCCAAAATCAAAGGGGGCCTCATATAAAAAAAAAAAAAACTTTTTTTCCACCCACTTTTCAACAGTTGTGGGGCCAGGTGGGGGAAAAAAGCTGGTCATACTTGCATTATCCTAGTATAACAGAATACCATGCAGTCTGCCCTGTGTCAGTTCAATTTCAGAATTTTTTTACTTTTCGGTTATGCCCTTCAACTTACTTTTCATGTATCCGGTGCTAAGGGCAAATTTGTCTAAGACTTTCAACCATAGTTTTCAGACCCGACTCGGACACTGACTCGGACAATGCAGTGGGTCAGTGGTTCGACTGGTGACCCGGTAGTTAGACCGGCGGGTCAATGCTTGTTAAGTATAAATATTATCTATTTATTGATTATTAAAATTTTGACGTCTTCTAATACTATATAAATGAACCTTGTGTATTTTAGGTGTCTAAATATCAATTTTTATGTCAAAATTCAACAAATTGTAAATCATGTATAATGAAATATGGATTTGAAGCAATAAATAACCATGAATCAAATATAAATTTATGTGGCAAATTGGCAATAGTAAACAAGATAGTTTTCTATACGATAAGAACATGCAATTTTCGACTTACATCATCTTCTTCCATCTAATACAACTTGAAATTCAAACTTTGGATTCTTGGGAGGCTTCGATTTCTATCCGCTGGCTGCTACGGCGTCGACCTCTTCTAGAATGGGAATGAGTTTTACCTTGTGGGTTTTAGGAATTAGGGCCTTTTATTCACGCAATTGGACCGATCGGGTTGCACGAATTTCGGGCCACCGGTTTAGTGGAAACCCGCCGAGTTAGCCAGGTTGTTAGCGGGCTGGCTGCATACTTAAAAAATATGCTGGCTCGGACCGGATCAAGGGCCGGTTCGGCGGTTCCCGGTCTGGACCGGCCGATCCGATCCGGTTTTTAAAACTATGCTTTCAACAGTGATATGGAAGAGTTTCAATTTTCAAACACACGCTCATAACTCGTGTATTTACTATTTAGATAACTGAACGTATTACAAAAATTTGCTTTTTAAATTCATTAATGGAAAAAAATTGATATCAACGTTTAGCATCACAAAAATTATCAAATACACTAGAGTGATGAGAAAACGTATTACGTGATTCCAAAAAATACTATTTGTATCAATGTCATATTACAATATTTTTTGAAAATTATTAAATTTACTTTTTTCTTGAATTTTTTCGTTGTTTTCTCTAACTCATATTTCTTTCATTTTTTGATGATTATTATATTTAATTTTCAATAAATATTTTTTCAAAAAAAATATATTTTAGGGCAATATTATTAATCTCATTTGATTTCAATTTTTTTGCGTACCTAAATATTTGATTTTTTGTTATTATTTACCTTCTACAATCTGAGATTT